GTATGTAGTAGTTTACAGGATATATGTAGTAGTTTACAGGATATATGTAGTAGTTTACAGGATATATGTAGTAGTTTACAGGATGTATGTAGCAGTTTACAGGATGTATGTAGTAGTTTACAGGATGTATGTAGCAGTTTACAGGATATATGTAGTAGTTTACAGGATATATGTAGTAGTTTACAGGATGTATGTAGTAGTTTACAGGATGTATGTAGTAGTTTACAGGACGTATGTAGTAGTTTACAGGATGTATGTAGTAGTTTACAGGATATATGTAGTAGTTTACAGGATATATGTAGTAGTTTACAGGATATATGTAGTAGTTTACAGGATGTATGTAGTAGTTTACAGGATGTATGTAGTAGTTTACAGGATATATGTAGTAGTTTACAGGATATATGTAGTAGTTTACAGGATATATGTAGTAGTTTACAGGACGTATGTAGTAGTTTACAGGATGTATGTAGTAGTTTACAGGATATATGTAGTAGTTTACAGGATATATGTAGTAGTTTACAGGATATATGTAGTAGTTTACAGGATGTATGTAGTAGTTTACAGGATATATGTAGTAGTTTACAGGATGTATGTAGCAGTTTACAGGATATATGTAGTAGTTTACAGGATGTATGTAGTAGTTTACAGGATGTATGTAGTAGTTTACAGGATGTATGTAGTAGTTTACAGGATGTATGTAGTAGTTTACAGGATGTATGTAGTAGTTTACAGGATATATGTAGTAGTTTACAGGATGTATGTAGTAGTTTACAGGATATATGTAGTAGTTTACAGGATATATGTAGTAGTTTACAGGATATATGTAGTAGTTTACAGGACGTATGTAGTAGTTTACAGGATATATGTAGTAGTTTACAGGACGTATGTAGTAGTTTACAGGATATATGTAGTAGTTTACAGGACGTATGTAGTAGTTTACAGGATATATGTAGTAGTTTACAGGATATATGTAGTAGTTTACAGGACGTATGTAGTAGTTTACAGGATATATGTAGTAGTTTACAGGATATATGTAGTAGTTTACAGGATATATGTAGTAGTTTACAGGAGGTATGTAGTAGTTTACAGGATATATGTAGTAGTTTACAGGATGTATGTAGCAGTTTACAGGATATATGTAGTAGTTTACAGGATGTATGTAGCAGTTTACAGGATATATGTAGTAGTTTACAGGATGTATGTAGCAGTTTACAGGATGTATGTAGTAGTTTGCAGGATGTATGTAGTAGTTTACAGGATATATGTAGTAGTTTACAGGATGTATGTAGCAGTTTACAGGATATATGTAGTAGTTTACAGGATATATGTAGTAGTTTACAGGATATATGTAGTAGTTTACAGGATGTATGTAGCAGTTTACAGGATATATGTAGTAGTTTACAGGATGTATGTAGTAGTTTGCAGGATGTATGTAGTAGTTTACAGGATGTATGTAGCAGTTTACAGGATGTATGTAGTAGTTTGCAGGATGTATGTAGTAGTTTACAGGATGTATGTAGCAGTTTACAGGATGTATGTAGTAGTTTGCAGGATGTATGTAGTAGTTTACAGGATGTATACACTGGATTTATTTTATTTGTTTCAAGCATTTAACTTAGCAAAAAATTGTGATTATTGAAGTTGCAGCAACAACAACAACAATAGTAGTAGTAGTAGTAGTTGTTGTTGTTGTTGTAGTGATAATAGTGGTAGTGATAAAAGTAATACTAGGACAAGTAGCAGTAGCAGTTGTAATAGTAAAAATGATACTGGTACTACTACTACTACAAGTAGTAGCAGTTGCTGTTATTACTAGTAGTAGTAGTTGCTGTTATTACTAGTAGTAGTAGTTGCTGTTATTACTAGTAGTAGTAGTTGCTGTTATTACTAGTAGTAGTAGTTGCTGTTATTACTAGTAGTAGTAGCTGTTGTTATTACTAGTAGTAGTAGTTGCTGTTATTACTAGTAGTAGTAGTAGTAGTTGCTGTTATTACTAGTAGTAGTATTAGTAGTTGCTGTTATTACTAGTAGTAGTAGTTGCTGTTATTACTAGTAGTAGTAGTTGCTGTTATTACTAGTAGTAGTAGTTGCTGTTATTACTAGTAGTAGTAGTTGTTGTTATTACTAGTAGTAGTAGTTGCTGTTATTACTAGTAGTAGTAGTTGCTGTTATTAACACTAGTAGTAGCAGTTGCTTTTACTACTACAACTATTAGTAGTAGTATTAGTTGCTGTTACTACTACTACTTCTAGTAGTAGTAGTTGTAGTAGTAGTAGTTGCTGTTATTGCTACTAGTAGTAGTGATAGTTGCTGTTACTACTTCCACTACTACTTGTAGTAGTAGTAGTATTTGATGTTACTACTAGTAGTAGTACTTGCTGTTATTACTAATAGTAGCAGTAGTAACAACAATAGAGGTAACATTAAGTCGGATTTTATTTTTGATTTACAAAACAGTCGATGGAATATTTCTATTTGATAATAAAAATAATTTTTTTTTAATACTGCAATATTTTTTTTTAATTGCTTCCCAAATTAACATTTTCCTCCTCCTGACTATATTACTTTCTTATCTGGAAAATGTTTGTCTCAGCATTATAATTTCTTAAGGAATTTGCACCGTCTTTTGTGTTTACACTTTATTAATGGAACTTATATTTGAATGTTTATTGATAATAATATTTATAAATGAAATCTGGCTTTGTTTTGCTATTATATAAACTATCTTTATAAACTATTGATCTTACGTCTTCGACAGGTGTTCAGATTCTTTATAAATTATTGATCTTACGTCTTCGACAGGTGTTCAGATTCTTTATAAATTATTGATCTTACGTCTTCGACAGGTGTTCAGATTCTTTATAAATTATTGATCTTACGTCTTCGACAGGTGTTTCAGATTCTTTATAAATTATTGATCTTACGTCTTCGACAGGTGTTCAGATTCTTTATAAATTATTGATCTTACGTCTTCGACAGGTGTTCAGATTCTTATAAATTATTGATCTTACGTCTCCGACAGGTGTTCAGATTCTTTATAAATTATTGATCTTACGTCTTCGACAGGTGTTCAGATTCTTTATAAATTATTGATCTTACGTCTTCGACAGGTGTTCAGATTCTTTATAAATTATTGATCTTACGTCTTCGACAGGTGTTCAGATTCTTTATAAATTATTGATCTTACGTCTTCGACAGGTGTTCAGATTCTTTATAAATTATTGATCTTACGTCTTCGACAGGTGTTCAGATTCTTTATAAATTATTGATCTTACGTCTTCGACAGGTGTTCAGATTCTTTATAAATTATTGATCTTACGTCTTCGACAGGTGTTCAGATTCTTTATAAATTATTGATCTTACGTCTTCGACAGGTGTTCAGATTCTTTATAAATTATTGATCTTACGTCTTCGACAGGTGTTCAGATTCTTTATAAACTATTCATCTTACGTCTTCGACAGGTGTTCAGATTCAAAATGCTGAATTTTATTTTCAATTCACATCTTGATATTGGACTCTCAGTCTTAATATGCCGTGAAACACGGGTAAAAATGTCTGGCTCACTCATAATATTAAATCTGCCATTCGATTTTGATATTAAATTTCCGTGGGCATCTTCCAACACGACAACGTAAATGTTTAATCACATTTCATTGGAAGTAACAAGTATGGAAGGAGTGGAGTGGAGGGAGGGAGTGAAGAGAGCCTTCTGGCTTATTAGACTGTCCTTCTGTACTGAGTATATAATGTCAGAGTGACGGTGAGAGCAGCAGCAGCAGCAGCAGCAGCAGCAGCAGCAGCAGCAGCAGCAGCAGCAGCAGCAGCAGCAGCAGCAGCAGCAGCAGCAGCAGCTTGTATAACTGCTGTGAACAGCCTTTATACGGCGAGGTTCCTTGTTATTTCCTGTTTTCCATGTAAATACACTAATCGGCTAATATTGTTTCTCTCTCTCTCTCTCTCTCTCTCTCTCTCTCTCTCTCTCTCTCTCTCTCTCTCTCTCTCTCTCTCTCTCTTCTCTCTCTCTTCTCTCTCTCTCTCTCTTTCTCTCTGTTCGGTTTTCCATGAAGTTAAACTGAAGTTT